CATCGGCATACCAATTAATCAAGATTGTGCAATCAAAGAAATAAACGCAGAAGTTGGGTTTTCCATTATTTACCATACATGTTTTGAATAAGGCTATATACTGTTACCCATAAAGGGATTTCGTATCATAGCAAAATAAAAAAAAATATTGTCACTGTAAAATGAGCGCACAATTGCGCCTTGAATAATTAAGTTTTTATAAGTACATAAGTCTTTTTGTGCAGATACGACCACTGTTTGCTTTTTTCTCTATAATTTATCAAAGCAATTTTGACAGATTATTTATAATATATGATTTTATATTCGATAATGTCATTTCCTGAAGAGGAATAAATTAACAAACTAAGAATGTAGATTAATCGCAACTCTTCATTTTACAGTTATCTTATACTTTAAAGTAGAGACAACATACCAAGATGAGGCTGCAATTTTGAAAGCTATTTATTAATTTTTTAAACATTTGTTGAATTCAAAATCGTAAAAAAACAACCTTATATTTAGCGTAGGTATAATGAAACACTCAATCGATTTCGAGGGCAGCTAAAGGTCCCTCCTCATCAGGAGAAAGAAATACATAGAAAGAAGAAAATAGGAATCACAGAAACACGTGGTGCTTATCAGCACTGCACGTGGTTATAACTAGATTTTTAATCAGAGTTGCACTGGCCGCCTACTTTTACTGAGCCAGGCTGTCTGATCAAGTTATAAAGAAATATTGCGAAGTTAAAATAGGGAGCGAGGGGCAAATGCACATTACGCTCAAAATCTGAACTTCAAATAATGGAAAGCAACCACTGAACGGATTTTTATACCCTCTGGTAGTACCAAGTGCGAGGAGGTAACGCCATCTATCGGCAAAAATAATTGAATTAAGACAGTAGAATTTTAAAGGCATTAGGAAGGACTGGATTGGACTTCAAATCATTAACTAAACTTTCTAAATCTTTGTGAATGTGAAAAGCCTCAAGAAAATCCAATTCGCCTATGGAAGAAGCCTTTTGGATGATTTTTGCAGACCCAAAATCAAAATTATGGTTAAAAGTCCAGCTATGATACGCTATTGAAGACTTGTTAATTTCCCCTTTTTTGACATAAGATTCATCTTATGTCATCTTATGCCCCTCCGCTCCCTATTTTAACTTCGCTAATATTTCTTTATACTTGATCAGACAGCCTGGCTCAGTAAAAGTAGGCGGCCAGTGCAACTCTGATTAAAAATCTAGTTATAACCACGTGCAGTGCTGATAAGCACCACGTGTTTCTGTGATTCCTATTTTCTTCTTTCTATGTATTTCTTTCTCCTGATGAGGAGGGACCTTTACTGCCCTCGAAATCGATTGAGTGTTTCATTATACCTACGCTAAATATAAGGTTGTTTTTTACGATTTTGATTGTCACATTAGCGTGTTTCTCTTCTAGTCTATTTGTTGAATTTTTGAAAATTTTGATGGAAACATTTTGGAGATGTTAGATTATAATAAAAAGTATCTATATTGCAATTTTTTCTCTAAACTTAAAACATTATTAGCCTATAAATAGAAATTATTATGAGACCTGTTACAAGGTTTCAGTTTTTTTTATAAAATAATACAAATTCTTGGATTTTTTTAACGATCATTGACTACATATTATTGGAATGGTTCCAAAAATATGTAGTCAATGATATCAGACAATAATGACAACACGATGAAAGTACAATGATGGTATACAATGATGAAGTGGGGATTATGTAAATGTATACAATGATGAAGTGGGGGTAGCTCCTTAACAGGTAACAATACTTTATTCAAAGTTTAATATACAACTAAAATTAATAGTATTTTTAAAAGCTACATTGATCTTAGTCCTTTAATGTATAAAGGAAAAATATGACCCTGATATTAAAATGTAAGAATGTTGCTAATATAACACACAAAAAGGCGATATATGATATAATAATGGGCCCATCAGATATGAGACCGTTGTAAAGGTTTATTTATGCATATGCCATACGGTTTTAATGCATGTACAATATATTGCTAAAATTAAAATATTAATTCTATTAGATTGTTTGAAAATATATTTTCAACAAAGAAATAGCACATCTCCTACACTTCCTTTTATTTGTTTGTTATGTATTTTAATCACGCTGACTACTTTAAATTAAAAAAAAAATCTTCTGCAATATTAAGCAAAAAATTCTTATTTTACAGGAGAGTAAATACAAAAGAAATCTCCAAATGAGAAAAACCTCATTAGGAAGCATGTTCATTACTTGGATTGTTTCCTAAGTATTTTGAAAATACGACTGAACTATTAACGTGTAATTATGATAAATGAATCTGCAATAAATATTAACCACTCAAAACTCGTTTTTACAAATAAGTTTCTAAACAAGAAATTAAAGAAAAAATTAATTTAAATACATTATTTAAATGCTTTTAAGTATCTCATTATTTTTAAAGGACACAAGCAATTTTTCCCTCGTAAAATTCATTATATTACATTGATTTTTTTATTAAGACTAAATACGATCTTAATCGATCGTACTTAGCACGTTATGGAGCAAATCCTGCCTTTGTTCCCTTTCCAATTTTTTTTTTTCCATTTTCGCACTTGTTTAGATTTACCACATTTTAAATGTGAAAGCAATATGTAAACCAATGTATATGCATAACATTGTAATCAAACTTTCTTACGTATAATGTAGCTCTGAGCACACAGTGGCATGTTTGCAATTAATTACCGACAAGACAATCATTTTCCTTTTCACTTGAATGATCCCAAATTTATTTAATCTTTTTTCAAACCTATCTTGTTTTTTTCCTATCTTGTTCATTTGCGGTTTTGCAGCTGAGGATGGTGGTTCGGTAAAACCATCGATACTAGTCCTGTGAAAATTTTGTAAATATAACGCTGATTTTTCTTGTTTGACTTCTGAATTAGTACTTATTCGGCGTATTATTGTGTCTTAATCCTTTATGGTGTTGCAACTTTAACTGTTATCAGTGTATTTCACAGTTTTTGAAAAGTAGATTTTCATAAGCTGTGTTTGAATGCTTCTTCTTAGTGTCTGATCTTAATCTAACCGTACATTCCTAAGTTATATCAGAGCTAATGTTGGAATGAAGATTAACTGCATGGGGTTTCATCTAACTTTATTGCATTTGACAATTAATTTCCAAAATGCGGATGGCAATAAAATATATTTCTTTAGCAAAGTGCTTAATAACAACATACTCAGTTTCAACGGAATGTAATGGAAATACTAAAAACGCAGAACGTTGGAATGGCAACCCTTTCTTGAGAATTTTTTTTTGCAAAAGCTCAACAAAAAAGATGCTTTGGAACGACAAACCTAAAAAGAAAATGTGATATGCAACTGTTAGAACTCTCAAAATATAAGACTAAAAGTACAGGGAAGAATATAACAGACACAAATCAAACAATCCGTATGACTACCACTGATCGTGCCGCCCAACTGGTATAGTTGTTAGCGTCAGTGACTGCCCTACCGACGGGCCCGGGTTCGAATCCCGGAGAAAGCTTGGGTGTTTGTAAATGTATAGTGTCGGTGCGGAATGGTGGCACTCTAATTATGCGGCGAGCCAAAAGACCTATTGTGTGGTTTGGTGGAATGAGAAAGGGGTGGGAAACCTTCGGACTCGTCCCCCCGGAACAGAACTGAGCCAAATCGTACTGTCACCTGTAAGGCGCTCAAGGCTGTTGCCAACGACAGGCGTAATCTTGCGTTCCTTACCACGAGGAATTTCGTGGGCTTGGGCTGACTACGTCACACAAGTGAGCACAAGCAACAATAACAACCACTGATCGTGATAATTATATAGCTATAATTAAGAAGTGATATTGTCGTTTTATAAAAGGAGAGTTTTGACACATGATGTATCGCGTTCGGTGCAACCTTTTGCAACAAGTTTTCTAATTTAAAAAATTAAGATATGATCTACGCAGCCGCATGGCCGATGCTGTTGGCTGTAGTTGACTGTCATATGTTGGTAAGGGTAGAGGTAATAGATTACTGAACAGTTGTCTGCTGTTTTTGCAAAGGTTGACAAATTATTAGATGACATATATCGAAATGACATAAGACCATTTTGGGAAATATTTTTCAAATGCGAGCGATTTTACTTTTTTGCATTAAAATAAAATTTAGTATAAGTAGCATAGTTTTTTTTTTTTTTTTTTTTTTTTTAATTCTCCAAATTTTTAATTGAATTATAAATAATATTGTATTAATAAAGACATTAAATCTTTTTAGTTAACTTGAATTGAAAGAATTATAATTTTACTCAAATGAAAATAAGTACACCGTTTAATTTAAAATATGAAAAATAAATAAAATTACCACAATTATATGACAGAAAGTGTTTTTAATCGTTTTTCTATCCCATTATTAATTTTTTAATATTTTTTCATCAGCATGTCCATTTTTATATTTAGTTTCTTTAATGAAAAGATTATTTGCTTACTTTTAGGAATCTTAGAGGAGAGATAAATACTATTTGAATGTTGGGTAAATAAAAATTTTTTCATTAATATTATATTTCAGTATAATACTTTCACAGTTGAGTTGTTGCGTGCATTACGTTATTTACGTAAACGCTTTTATACGTTATATATAAAATGAAAGAAGCAATTTTAATTGAAGGAAGATATTGCTTAATTCATATAAACAAAATCCCTTAATTTGCTAAGAAAACATAAAAATGAGATAAAGTGTTATGTTTGGGGAAATAGACAAATTTTACTTATAGATAAAAGAAAAATTATATTTTCTTATTTGCAGTAGAGTAAACACCTAAATACTTGACTCTCTGATAAAAAGCTACGCTTACTACACTGCATTTTTGAATTCTCCTAATATCTCAATGAACGGCGATTTCAGTTCGACAACATAATTGGGCCTATCTTGTCCTTATAAGCTTAAATGTCTATATAATTATAATCACAATCTTCTGCTAACTAGCTACCACCTTAAAGAAGAAATAAAAACTGCTTACCCACAACGTCCAAGAAACCGACAAGGCTCTTCATTGGTGAAGTATTGACTTGGCACATGTAACCTCCCCTATCAGATTCTTGTACGTCATGTATGTGTAGATTCCAATGCCTATAGTCTGGATTATGTACTGTAAAGCGCTGGTTTTTTAACACTAGATGCTTTTGAATAGTTAATAGGCTCTGTGTTTCGAGTCTCAGCCATGCTACCTGGAAAGAAAAAAAAAAAGGTAATTAAACAAAATTTAGAAGCATTAGTAAAGTTTTTTTTTTTTTTCTTTTTTTTCCCTTTCCGTTGTGTCTCTAAGGGGTCAATAAAAAAAAACGCAATCTGTTTGACCGAAATACTTCTTTTAAATATGTTTACATGTAATTAGTTAAAGGCGTTCTTAAGCCATTTTCATAAAACTGAGATTATGATACTGAATATTAAGTACTGTAATGCTAATATTAATTTCGTAAGCTTGAAGTGTATTAAAATTGTTTGGTGGGGAATAAATAAGTGAAGAATATAAATTAATGTGCCACGCTTTTCTCAGCATTTCAGTGAGAAACCATTGGGCCATTATTTATATATTTCGAATTACTTATTTGCAGTTTTCTGTTAATTTGGACCACTTGGTTACATTTCAAATAATATAAATAAAAATAAATACGGAAGAGGAAAATTTAATGGTATTTAATAGTAAAGAAAATACTAATCTTAGATTACTACACTGTATAAATACAGTTTTATTAACTCTCTGTACTCAGGTGGCTAGTTATTCATTCTAAACTGACTAAAACTAAATTTTCAATACTTTGGTTATACGTTTTGTGTGTATATGCGTGTGCACGTTTGACGTTTGTATTTGTTTCTTCCATTATAATTTATATGATGTGGTAAAACTTCTTTGTCACTTTGTAACGGCAGAATTGCTCAATTTCTTCTCACATGCATTAAATTATACATTTAAGGTTCGGGTGAAAATGAAGGCAACTGAATTGTCATTACTAATTAGCAATTATTGGGAACTTAATTTAAACTATTTTGCTGTAAAAGTAGTAAATAAAAATTCCATTTGTTTTATATTAACGTTAATAAACCTAAGTTAACTTACAAGAAAAAGAAAAAAGAATATATTAACATTTGGTTATTTAAATTGAAGTTTGCTTATTTTAATTTCTAATTAAATAATTACAATTATTTGATTACATATAATACATTATTTATTACATACTTACTTATGATTCATTATATGCTTAATTATAAAAACCTTTTAAGGTATTTTTACCGCCTTCTTAGCATGCCTTCGTGGTGTAGTGGTCAGCACGCTCGACGCGTATTCGAGAGGTCCGTGGTTCGCGTCCGGCGAGGATATTGCTCATTTTTTCACATCTCCTGCTTATAAAAAATCCTAATGTCTCTGCAGCATAGGCAGAGATGTTTAATTTTTAAAAATGTTTTTAAAGTACTAGCAAAATTTCTCCCATCTCTTTTCAAAAAGGCAGCATTATAAAGGCTTTGCTTTATTAGCAAACATTACTTTTCAATTCATAGTTAAAACATCTACTGAAAAATACAATGTTAGTTTCCTGGAAAGATTGATTAAGAACTTAATTCAATAAACTTGTATCAACTAACAAAAAAAAAGGGGGGAATTAGATAAATCAGAATATTTTATAAGTTATACAGTTTATGTATCTAGCAGTAAAATTCCATACATAAAGATAGTGAAATATCCACAATAATAAAAATCAAGTGAAACATATGGAACCACTACATCACGAAGGCATGCTAAGAAGGCTGGAGAAATACCTTATATACTCCCCCCTTTTAAAGGGCGACTGAGATTATAGGGGACCTAGTCGGCAAATTCTGGAGGTGGAGAATCCTCATTCACCACCTTTCAGTTCGGGCGCTACTGTAGAAACATTAGGCTATTTCGCACCAGGAGAGATGAAAAAAGAGCAATGCCCTCACCGGGATTCGAACCATTAAATAAGTAGACCGCATAAATATTTCTATTATAAAACTGGTTTCCTGAAATTTTATTTAGAAAAATAAGATAACTTTGCTATGATAATGCCCAAGAGTAAAAAATATATAGTTTATTTTATTCTAAAAAAGCTGTATATTTTGACAACCGTTCATTTTTATTTTGAATCCAAACTTAGAATAATATTAAATTATATGTTTATATATATATATATATACATAATTTAAAATTTATGTTGACAAAAAGACGAGTTTATTTTACAGACGAGTCTAAATAGCAATTATTATACTTTATTTTGTACCATCGCATATATAAACGGAGATATTAGCTTAACTAAATATTACTTTTTTAGTTCAATATACGAAATTCAAGAATATTTTTTTAATATCTTACATCTTGTAAAATTTATAAAACCTAGTACTCGATTATCATATTGAATCCCAGACAAACAATCACTCTTCTTAGCGTTACTAAGCAATTTGCTTTGTATTAACAAATTTAAATTGCATTAAAGTACTGTAAAATATGAATATTACTTCGTATGGTAATTTTACTGTTATTTTGGAGCTCACAGTGGATAATAAATTACCTATTTCCTTTACAGTTTCATGTTCTTTGTACGTGCGTGCATAAATATATTTTAAAACTACATTTTTAAATACTGCACTGCCTTTGCTTATGCCTCCAAAGACAGTGATGGAAGTAAAAAGGAAATAAAAATGATTAAAATTCATTTCAAAAGTTCATGTTATTTTAATGATGTGATTGATGGGCCTGTTGGAAATCAAAATTTTAAGACTCAGCATATAAATATTTATTGAAAATTTTAATCTTTTCTAGAAATCACGTCTGGAATCATAATACGCACAGTTAATGTTACATATACAATTAATTAAGAAGGATTCTACATTTGCGTAGAACATAATATGTATCGGCTGATCATGTCTCCATCTCTTTCAAATAATCTTAAAAAGGATATGATCCGTAGCCTGAAAAATGGAACAGATAATTTACTACAAGAAGTGTATGAAAATGGTTATGTGGCTTGTACACCCATAAATTTAATTAATTAAAATCTAAACTAAAATAAACCTGAAAATAACCATTATTCAAATTGCCTTTGCATATAAAGAGAACTTTCAAAGAAGTACTTGAGAATGATTTGAGACCCAAGATTATGTTAAAACGCCCGCTCTTAACTGATTAGATATTCTTCCAGATTCATTCTACAATTTTGGTTTTAAAAGATCTACGGTGGAGATCATGTAGTAAAATAATTTGCAGTCTATAATAATTAGTTTTTTGATGCTGGAGACGTGAAAAATGAGCAATGCCCTGGGTGGGACTAAAACCTGAACCTCTCGAATACACACCGAGTGTGCTACCTTTACACCACGAAGGCATGAAGAAAGGAGGGAGAAACTACCTCATATACTCCTCCTTTTAAAGGACAAATGGGGATTAGGGGACCCGGTCGCCAAATCTTGGAGGTGAAGAATCATCATCCGCCATATTTTAGTTCGGACGCCACTGTAGTGTCATTAGGTTACTTTTGAAGAAGGACACTTGAAAAATGAGCAATGCCCTTGCCAGGACTAGAACCTGGACCTCTCGAATACGCTCCGAGTGTGTTACCATTATATCACGAAGCCATCCAGTAAGGAGGGAGAAAATAGCATTTAGATGCTTCATATTAAATAACACAAATTTTGTTTCAAAACCAGCCTCATTCATATTTGATCGATGCTTGTAAAATATTTTCCTTGAAGGCTTTTAGTTAATATTTACAGCAAGTGTCAAGTACCTCAAAATAGCATATAAGTAAATTAGCTGCAACAATGTGGTACAAGTCTGTATTTTGAACGCTCATGGAACAAAGCGAAGTAAATAACTACAAAAGAATGGGTAGAAAATCTGACTAGGATATTTTTGGTCCACAAATAAGGCACTGCATTTGTAACATTTTGGAATGAAAAGAAATTGTTACAAATTTTTCACATGATTTGAATTATGTTTTTCCGAGATCTCTTAAAGATGTGAAACGAAGTAAATTCAAATACACGCAAGATATGATCGAATTCTTTCAGGTAGTTCGGAAGGCCAAGGAGAAAAATTGATTCTTTCATTCTTTGAAAAGCAGTAATAATGTTACGACAAATGTTTTTCTTTCTAAAAAGGATTACTTTAAAAAAGATAGCAGAGCTATTGTTTTGAGATTAGTGGATATTTTTTTATAGAAAATGTAAAATACTTGTTAAGCGGTGTATGTAGAAAAGATAAGTTTGTTTGTTATAAAATAACTGAGATGAATGCTTTTATTTAAGCGTATGCGCTTCTATTAAGCAAGTATCCATATTAATGCGACATTTAGAGTAATTTTAAATAAGTGTATAGCGTTTTAAGGAGGCTTGTGAATTTAATTTCTTTTTTGTCCTAAAGAGACACACGAAAAAAGTAGCATGCGGTAGATATTTAATAATTTGTCCTACTGTAAGAACAGAAGGTATTTTCTACAGCGTTGTCAGTTGACAGTTGACGGGTGACGGAGGCACCATCCACTCTAGTAAAAGGTTAGGTACTTTTGTCTCGCGTCGCCGCATATCTAGCATTAGGTGAAACATTAAATAATATTGCAAGATATTAAGCCTTTCAGTACATAATCACATAATTTACATTATTTCAGATAATAAAATTGCTTTACAGCAGAACAATAACTGTACACATTACAAAAAAATTCTATAAAGACAACACTTTACAGACTTAAAAAAAATTACAAACATATATTGCACTACATTCAATAGTACAGTACAGTAGTAGTACAAAGAGTTGATTCATTAGTGCAGTACAACAGTAGTACAAAGAGTTGAATTTCTAGAAACAAGCTGAATGAATATTAAGTTCTTATTCTAGGCACTGTTTCCTTTATACACCCCCCCCCGAAAAAGGGTTAAATAATTTTTTTTTAAAAATCTGTACAAACTTAGAGAACAAGGCTTAGGTCAGATCCGAGTTTTGCAAGCTTGTCGATAATCTGTGCGGTCCTTGCTACCAGATGACGTGGTTTTACTACAAACATGAAGAGAGCTTATATATTGTTACTAGAAAATATTGTTCTCTGGTAAGTGGGTAGATAATAACATAATGGTCTGGGGTACCAATTTCTCCACAGAGGTAATGTTGCTGATGCTGTGTCTATTAAAATATTCGGGAAAGGGACCATGTCCTGTAATA